ACTTCTCTTGATCGTGAACAATCTGATCAATATATATTTTATATAATTGCATCAGATGGTTATCATATATCATCTCGAATTAAAATTCTAATAAAAATTCTTGATTTAAATGATGAAACACCTCGATTTATATTTCCAAATGAAGTTAATGATACATTAATAATTGATCTAGGATATTGGAATATTAATGATTATATATGTGAAATAGAAACTCAAGATAATGATCAGATACAAACACATACATTATTACTTATTTATCGTTTTGATCAATTAAAAAATTATGATTATTTAATTAAACATAGAAATATTCTTCAATTCGATACTATTAAATTTTTTCTTGATCAACAAGGAAGATTATTTTTTAATTCAACTAATAATTCAATCTTACAAGAAGGAGTTTATTATTTAGCATTTAAAGTACGTAACTAAATAATTGTAATAGATATTAAGATTCATTCTTTTTAGATTGTTGACGGACATGATTATTATGATGAAAAAATATTAAAATTAATCGTTGTGAAAGATTATGAACGTGTTCAAACGATTATTAAACGATATGATTATCTTGGTTTACATTTAAATAATCGTTTTGCTTATTTACAATATCAAAAATCTAAAACAAATCGTACATCAATATTAGAACAACCAAATAAATTCTTTCTTTTAATTGTTTGTTCTATGTTAATACTTATTCTTCTTGGTATAACAGTTATTTTTATTTCATTAATAAGACGTAAATCATTAAAAGAAAAAGAATTATTAAAAACTCAACCATCAATATCATCAAATTCTCAACAGCAATCAAATAGTTCAACAATTAATTTATTAAAACCATCAAATAAAGGAAATTTACATGTTACAAATTGTTTTGATTACAATGATTCAACATTAGTTATGTTAAATAAAGATTTAATAACATCATCATCACTTTTGAATGATAATTGTTGTTTATTAGATACAATAAATGAACATGATATTTATGATACACAAAAAAATAATAAGGTATTGACTTGTAAGAATAATACTCAAAGTATTAATGATATTAGATCTTAATTTTTTTTGCAAAATTAAATGTCAAGAGGAACTCAATGTCGTTTTTTAGCGCACAATAGAAATAGTATACTAAGTCATAGGAAAAGTAGATATAAAATTTAGAATTAATTTAATTATGTATACGAATCAATATCAAAAAAATTGTGAAATAGATTTTTCGTACCTTGTATCAGATAACAATAGCCTCTCAATTAAATTTTATTTGTTTATAGACATATTCATCTTGGATGTTACCAAATTCTAATCATCCTGAATCTCATTATTCACAACGTAATATTGATTCATCAACATTTCATACATTTAATCATCTTTCAATGCGATCACCATCAACTTTATCGAATGAATTATGTTCACCAAAACGACATACATCTATGCAACCATCTTCAGAATATACAGTTGCAGTTGTTTCATCATCATCAACAAATAATTGTTCACATACACCTGTGAGTTCTGATGATGGATTTTGTGGTTCATCGGATACATCAGATCCTTCACTTCCAAATGGAAATCATCATCTATTATC